TAGATAAAGTACTGTTCATCTCTAGAATGCACCATCGATGGCTGGATTTATATTTTGTATGAAAATCAAAAATGAAACAAAAAACAAAAAGACTGTCTTCCTGTAGTGATCACCTTGTTCAATATTGCACGAAGAAGTGAATTAAAGGACAAAAACTTCTGTCAAAGGAGAAATGCAGGTCATGGGCTCTGGCTTTAGTCACTTTAAGCTCCTTTACATCTACACCTGTAAGGACATCTACATCAGTAGGTTGTCAAATTTAAGTGGACTCGTGTTTGAAATGCATATCATTTAATGAATTTAAATGTTAAAAATAGCTTGGGAATTGATATGAACGTGGGAAATATGAAACTGAACAGCTTTTTCTATTTAAAGGTTTGAAGCAATTTGAACACTGAATTTTGAACATGTTTCTAAATATTTAGTATTGATTTTAACAAAATGTAGAAACGACAAGGTGCCCCTTGCAACAGTATGAGGAATTCATGCTCGTACACCCAACAGAATAAATAGCAGCATTATTAATCATACAGTCTTATAGGCTTTGCACATTCAATTTATAGAGTTAAACTAATTGAATACAAAACATGAGCCTCAAAAAATCCTTGCAATCAAATAAATCTGAGGACAGTATTTGGATTTAATAGAGGATTAAAAGAGGAGAGGGAGATAAAACAGTAAAAAAAACTTTCCAGGTATTTAATAAGCAACCTTAGAGCAGATTAAAACTTTTTTTTTTCTTTCAAATGTTTGTTTTTAAAAATGGCTCCGGACAGAGAAGCAAAGAGCAACGCGAACAATTTCAACACAAAACAAAAAAAGAATAAAACGAATGAAGAGAAACAGGTCTGTGTTTCTACACACAAGTTTGAACATCTGAATCTAAAGAATTCATTCCTCATTCGTTTGAGGTGTGGGGTAATGACAGTTCAGGTTTGTGAAGAGCGTTTGATGTATTAAGTGGATGCGTCTCTTCGTTGGGTCACTCAATCCTTTACTGCCTGACCGTCCTTGTCTTCACACACCGGCGCTTTACCTGAAACCAGAAAAATGTATAAATCAATCAATCAACCTACTTTACAGCAGAGAATGGCATTATGGTGAAAACTACATTTTAAAATATATTAAAATGGAAGACAGTTTCAGTTGGTAACAACATGTTTTAGCTAACATACGACATAAGACTTAAAAATATATAAAAAAATTAGTGCTGTCAAAATTAGCGCGTTTAATGCAGGTTAGGGCTGCACAATTAATCGAATTTCTAATCGCAATTACAATTATAGATGCCACAATTACGTAATCGTTCAAAGCGGCAATTAATCGTTCAAAGTCCACTTATGTTATTCTGTGTGCTTAAGATGCTTTTTTTTTTGCTTTCTCCATGTTATCTTAAGGGTTTTTCCATTGTTTTAGTTTTAGTATAACACTATAATAGCATTTATATTTTTACTTTTTTTATATAATTTAAAGAAACCAATCCGATGTATAGTTGACATTTGAGGCTTAAATACTATAGAAAAGCACAACGTTTTTCAGTTAGTGTTTTCAGTTTGTTTATTTTCATATAAAAATACGGCATGCAGTTGCATCAAACAATGGTATAAACATCATTCAATATCGCAATTAGAATTTCAAGGGAATAATCGACAATTATGAATTTTGTCATAATCGTGCAGCCCTAATGCAGGTGATTAATTTTTCCAGTTTAATGGCGTTAAAATACACAATTAATGCAGGGGCAGAGCTAAGGTTGGTCACCTCACTCACAACTGCTGCTTCTGTCTCATTTCTTGACAAGATTTGCATTCATTTAGACACAATGTCTTTACGACTACATCAAATGGGAGACTTTTCAGACGCGCACTCCAACTTCGCCTCAGCGTCAGGAGCGAGTCAAATGAGTGCGGAAAAGGTACAGGTGATGAGGAGCTTCAGTAGAACATCAGTGAACTGCGGTCAAATGACATGTATGAAGGTATGTATGACGTATGAGTATGTAGGGTTGTGACGGTGAGGAAATTTTCCCACCGGTTAATCGACGTGTGACAACACCGGTAATATTGGTATCACTGTGGGGGTGTGGGGTTCCCCTCTTTTTCTCGCTTTCCTTCACTTTTAAAGCAGCACTATGTAACTTTTGGCGCTCTAGCGGTTAATAAACAGAACTGCATACATCCCGCGGAAGAACATTCCAACCGGAGCTACTTCTCTAAGTTTATGTCTATGGTGATTCACGCAGGTGTGTTATGTGTTACTCCGCAGCGGTGACGACCCGACCAGGCTACAATAGTCCAAATATAAGTACTTATAATAAGTGTACCAGGGGCGTAGCCATCATTTCAGAAGTGAGGGGGACAGAAATGTTATATATATATATATGTGTGTATATATATATATATAT